GCGTGTGTGGTCGGGGGGGGGTGGGGGGGTGGGAGTAAAATTAGTGGGCAAGACCTCTCTTGTTACACTTGGCTGAAATCAGCCAGCAGGTTCATGTGTTAAATGAGGCTGACAGGGAGCCAGGCAGCTTGTGCAGTCATGGAGTCTGGTTTCTAGGGAAACAAGGTAAATGTTTTTCCTCCTTCTTGCCACCTTTTAACTCTTAGAAGGATTTTACACATCACAACAGGAAATATTCTCTACATCCACCTTTCCCCATTTCAGTTAGAGCAAAAAGCATCAAATTGGGTCCGTCTCAGAGCAGTGCTATACTTCGGTGTGTAAATCTGGAGAGTTACTGCCTCAATCACTGCCATATCTCCAATTATGGTCAGCAAAGGGTACACCAGCGCAGTTATCTAAATTTACATGAGCCTTCAGTAGGAGTGATCTCACTATTGCAGGGGGAGGCAGAGAAGCCCTCGGGGCTGTCGCTGCCTTTCTTGGTATAACACCTCAAGCTCCCATAACCACAACAGTCAGGACTGGTGCTGTACAGAGCCAGTCCCTGCTCACAGGTGCTACCTCTCCTCTGCCTTTCACCACCAGACTCAGCTGGAAACGCCAGCCAACCCAGCCCCTCAGGAGCCAATGGAGTATTTTGAGCCATGTAGTAACAGCAGTCACAGCTCTCCAGCCTCCTTGGAGGGTGGGATGCAGCCACCCCCATCCCCTCCCCAGCAGGCCCACTCCCCATCACCAGGCAGAGCCTGGACTGAGGAATACCAAGCCACTGCCAGGTAGGAATTTGTCACCTTAGCTGCCTCTCAAGAACAGCAACAAACTGCATTTGCAAACAGTGGGCAGGTTACAGCCCCTCTGTCAGAGGGAAACTGGAGGGTTTCCATGGCAACAGCTAGCACCAGCCACCTACCTAAAATTTAGTGATGTTTCAACCATCTGAAGTAGTTTCATTAATTTCAAAACCTGTTGGATTCAAAGGAGCTCTCTAGCCACCCAGCAGAGGATTAACATGTAGAATAATACTGCAGTAACTGCAAACACGCTTAAGGCTCCTGCTGCTTTCCTATTTCACACAACCAGAGAAGCCTCACTCCACCCCAAAATCTTCACTCTCCAAAAACAGCAATGGTGGCTTCTTTCTCATTACAGGAACCCTGCTTTGAGTCAGATGCTCATGAATTTGAGCTTTGCTTCTTTGGTTTGGCTGGTCCCATGCATAGGGCCTCCAGTAAGAGCACCAGACTTGACACAGCTATGTATTAGCCAAGAGACAAAGTTCATTTCTTTAAAATATTTATTTTTTGGTCTGAGCACACACAGGACACAAGACCGTTCCACACATTAAGCTGTCTCCTCTTTTGCAGTACGATCTTTCTTGAGTGGTCCCTGAAAAACAAAGAAGGACACTATGTAAACCGCAGTCTGCACCCAAGACCACACCACATCCCAATTACAGTGCTGTAATTTCATCTCCTCTTGCTGCAAAGAAATGAAGGCAAAAAAAAAAGCCCTCAATGTTGCAGCCCATTGGAAATCTCAAGCCCCATCCCCAGCTACAGGTGTCGGAGGGAAAGCTGGGCTTGGCGCAGCCACACTGCACCAAATCAATGACTTCCTACGCGATAGAGAAGTGCTGGTGCCACCTCGTGGGGAAGCTCCCATGCAGCCCCCAAGCAGCTGAACCACACCCTGACCTGGCCAGGGCCTCACATCCAGGACTCCAGACCAGCTTTCTCCAGCAAGTGACAAACTGAGAATGACACCCACAGCCTGCTGTGAGCACCACCACCGTCCAGCACTGCTCTGGGAAGAAATGCAGCGCAGAGACAGTCCCCACAGGTGTCAGATATTGCTCAGTGCTTGTTCCATGCCTTGGCACTGAACGACTGAAATGCCTCTCTGGCACCAAGTGCTGTTGCAGGGAAGCGAGACCCCAGCCCCACCCCCCCCCAGTTATAACCAAGTTGGCAGGATGAACCCTCTTGACTGAAGCTGCACACTTTGTTTCACAGAAATTTTGGCCCTGTGGCAGCCCAAAGGTCAAGCTACCAACTGCCATGAGCTCAAAGACAATACAGATATGCAACACAAAGCTGCCAGCTTCAGAAAGCGTCCTTACCATGAAAGACTTCTTCTCCTCAGCTGTCTGGAAGCGGCCATGACCAAATTTGGAGGTTGTGTCAATGAACTTCAAGTCAATCTTCTCCAGGGCCCGGCGCTTGGTCTGCACAAGCAGGGACTACAGGAGAGATGCCAGGTGAGTACGCAGCAGCAGCAGTCTTTCAGCCTGCCAGTACACTTGGCTACTTCTTACCACCTCCACGGCTAATGCCTCCTAAGTCACTCTGACCTCACGCTTCAGTTGCTATTACGTGCAAGGAGCACTTGCCGATAAGCCAGCCCACACCTTTGGCCTTCCAAGGCTGAGGACTGGTCAGGTCACACCAGCAGGTGAGCCCAAGTCTGCCTGCCAGCATCCTTACAGTCCATGAGAATTCTCAGCCCTAAAGCATACCCTTCACTACAAACAGCCCTGGACTGAATTAACTGGGAAAAAGGACCTCATGCTACTCCCAAGGTCATTAATATGAGGTGTTTGTGTGTGTGGAGCTTTTCCTTCTAGCTGGCTACATGAGTCCCCACAGCAGCAAGTAACACCTGTACCAGAGGCAACGCAGTGAACTTAACATGTTCTAGCCCCTCTGACAGCAGGTTGCACTACTCACCTTGCGCAGGGTTAGGACCCTCTTCTTGGTCCCAACAACACAGCCCTTCAGCATGATGAAGTCATTGGTCACCTCACCGTAGTGGACAAAGCCTCCCTGAGCAAGGAGAGAACAGTTAGCGATCTGTATAAAGCAGGACCAGCGATCACTTCTGCCTACAGCTTGATGTTCTCGCACCACTTCTGGGTCTCGGTCATTCCCACATTCACAGAAAACCCATTTCCAGTATTACCTTTCGCTGGTCAAGTTTCTCAATACAGCAATTTACTTGCTGCTGTTAAGGCTTTTACTAAGAACAGCAGCAACAAGAAGAGGCTGACAAAACAGCAGAAGCTGCTCTCCCTGCTAAGTTATTCCTTATTTACAAGTATCATTTCTAGATTTGTAACATCTTGCTATACTATTGCCACATACCAAATGCAATTAGTAAGTTACACAAGTCAATACTGAGAATGACTAAGCAACACCACCTCCCACAGCAGCCGAGTTTTCTCTCAAGAGCTCTTCATTCAATCACTTCAACTTACACCAGGCCCATTTGCCTCTTAGGATCGCAGCTCACAAGCAGAGTCTCTCCATAGAGCTGCCAACAACTCACCAGAGGGTTGATGCTCTTGTCAGACAAGTCATAATCAGTCGATGCATTGTTTTTGATCAGCTTTCCATCCTTGATTTGGTAACCCTGGCCGATCTTGTAGATCTAAAAAGGTCAAGAATTTCTACTCAGCAAAAGGGAGGAGAAAGGGCCTGTCACGAGCCAAAATGCAGAGTTCTACATAGGGTTGGAGAAAAACGTCTGTTGCACTTCGAAAACACGTTGCCATACAAGAATTTTATGGTTATCCAACACAACGGACTATGGTTACTGCCCCCGAGATGACTCAAACAAACAAGAGCAAAACGTCCAAAGCCAAACTCTGCTCTCTTCACTGTCATGCAGCAAGTGACCTTAGCCAGCTCTCGTTTCTTCTCAGAGACACAAACCTTCTTATTGATTTCAGTCCGATGGTGATACCCCTTCTGACCAGCCCGGGCCACAGAGAAAGCCACACGAGCAGGGTGCCATGCACCAATGCAGGCCACTTTGCGCAGACCCCTGTGAGTCTTGCGGGGCAGCTTTTTGGTGTGCCAACGGCTGGTAACACCTGAAAGAAACCAAAGCAGTGTTGCTAACTATGGTCAAGCTGAGATGTCACCTAATTGTTCAACTAGAGTTTAAGCCACATTTCAAGCTGCTGCCCCCAGGCAACAAGAGGGAAGCCCAGAGCCAGCATCCCAGGAATTAACCACATTCCCTTAAGCGCCCTGCCCCATAACCACCCACACTCCCTCCTCAGCTGTCCCTGGGTTGTTCTCAGAAGGAAGGCAGCATGGAATGACTCCTCACGGATGTCAGGCGCTGTGCCCAGCGCTCATTCCACGGTCTCATCACTGAACTGGACAGCAGAATGGATTTACCTCCTCAGCTCTTAGCCCACACACTTGTGAAAACTCAAGGCTAGGATTTCATTAAAAACTGTATCCCATCCCAAAGAGAACATCCATGCATTTACCTTTATAACCCTTGCCCTTGGTGACTCCGATGACATCTATCATCTCATCCTGGCCAAACACAGTTGACACAGGCACCTGCTGTTCCAGCTTCTCCCGGGCCCAATCCACTTTCTCAGCAACAGTGCCACCATTCACCTGGATCTCCATTAGGTGAGACTTCTTCTGCCTCAGGGGAAGCAAACGCATCTAGAAAACAGAAAGGATGAAATTTAGCTCCTGCTCTTCCAGGATCGACCTTATATCCAAGATACACAACTTCAACATACTGAAGTAAAAGGCCCTACACTAAGGGGAAAGGTTCTACTGTGGCTTAAATAACAAGTCACAGTATCTGGAAGTTGTATGCCACCCACAGGAACACAGAATTCTCTAACCCCACAGCCAAATTCCATCCAGGTAGGACAGGAGATAGCAAGGGGCAATGGTTTTAAAATGAAAGAGGGTAGATTTATACTGGACATAAGGAATAAATTTTTTATGAGGGTGGTGAGACCCTGGCACAGGTTGCCCAGAGAAGATGTGGATGCCCCATCATTGGAAGTGTTCAAGGCCAGGTTGGATGGGGCTTTGACCAACCTGGTCTAGTGAAAGATGTCCCTATCCATGAAAAGAAGGGTGGGACTAGATGATCTTTTAAAGGTCCCTTCCAACCCATTCTATAATTCTTTGATAAAGCCTGCCACACTGAAGGACACTTTGGGTAGGGTCACATTTACAGTTACTTCTACTATATTTAGCACAGAGGGACTGATATGAGTATCAACAGCAGCTGCAATACTACCTCTACTGTCTAGTATGGAAAATTAATTCATCAAATTAGCAATGTCATAACTAGACATCCTACTGCACTTACAGCCAACTCAAAGATTTAATTGTATCTCCCACAGAAGTCTGGCAGAGCACTGATGGCTAGGGAGACACCACCACACTAGCCAGCAGTACACCTCTTCCAGCTGAGCAACAGAAGCCACCAAAAGCCTCCAAGTGTTTGCAGTCCCTACAGAACACAGCCTGAAACGCTGCTGACCACGCAAACCCCAGAGTCAAGTGTTCAGCCTCTTTATTTGTAGCTGCAATTAAGAGAGCCCAGGTCTACACAGTTATCAGAAAACGACTGAGTCCAAGAAGTTCCTACTATGTTCAGTCTCTTTTGGACGCTGCTTCAGAAGATTGCCAGCAGTTGCCCTCAAGGCTCAAGCATCCTGTGAGCACACACTTTGTACAGAATGAAGAGTGCTAGTATTTGTATTGTTCTTAACGGTTAGCATCGGGCTGCAGGGGAGAGCAGACATCTCCCTACAGAGATGGACCAAGTTTTATGCTTGCTCTCTTAGCTGTCTGTTTCCAGTGTACATCTGTCCTGGTTTCATCAGGAATAGTCAATTTTCTTCCTAGTAGCTGGTATAGTGGTGTGTTTTGGATTCAGTAAGAGAAGAAGGTTGATAACACACTGATGTTTTCAGTTGTCACTAAGTAGTGTTTATACTAAGTCAAGGATTTTTCAGCTTCTCATGCCCAGCCAGCAAGAATGCTGGAGGGGCACAAGAAGCTGGAAGGGGACACAGCCAGGGCAGCTGACCCAAACTGACCAAAGGGATATGCCATACCATGTGATGTCATGTCCAGTATATAAACTGCGGGGAGCTGGCCAGGGGCTGCTGCTCAGGAACTGACTAGGCATCAGTCAGTGAGTGGAGAGCAACTGCATCGTGCATCGCTTGCTTCATATATTCTAATTCCTTTATTATTACCATCATTATTATTTTCTTCCTTTTCTGTCCTATTAAACTGTCTTTATCTCAACTCACAAGTTTTACTTTTTTCTCCCCGATTCTCTCACCCATCCCGCTGGTTGGGGGGGGGAAGTGAGCGAGTGGCTGCGTGGTGCTTAGTTGCTGCTGGGGTTAAACCATGACAACATCGGAGTCCCACAGACACTTACCTGAGTGTGAGCCATGACTCTAATAACCTGGCAGTATTTCTTCATGCTATTGAAATCTTTCTCCAGCTGCTTTTTGCCCTCCTCATCTTGCCATTTCTTGCAATATTTGGTGAAGGCCTTCTTCTTGGACTTGTGCCTTCAGGAGCAGAGCAGAGACAAGGTTTGGCTAAGCCCTTCATCAATCCCCCAGGAAAGTGGGGACGAGCGGAAGGAGCTGCCACCTCAGCTGGTTTCAGCTCATTGCCAGCTTCTAAGGACTCTTTTCCACTGGCAAGCGGAGCCTGGAGCTCATCAGACAGTGGCAAAGTTGCCAGAGCTGAGCGGAGCTGCCATGAATTCCAAAGCACATTAATATTCACAGTACAGAAGACAAAAGACTGTAGAGAGACGTCGAACAATAACAGAAGAAAACATCTTTAAAGCAACTGTCAGATGATTGCTATCTGTTTCAGAATACCATCATTTCCCCCCTTCTAAGCCCAAGCTATGCCTGACTGTAAGGTCGTTACTGTAACACCCTTGAGATCATTATTGCTCTACTCTGACGTCTTTTCAGCCTGAAAAGTTCATTAACAGGCTGTAAGCTCTAGACACGCTGGAGCCACACTTGGGCAAATGCACATACTTTGAATCACAACAACAGTGCCTGGAACAGTAATCAGAAGTAACACTTGTCTTCCCCTTTCCTGAGAAAACAGGGCTACAGTCAGGACTCGACACTCAACAACAAGCGCCAGAGGCGATTTCCTTATGTCCGCCCGTCGAGGTATCATCACGCGTAGCCTGTTAAGGAGATCTCAGGCAAAACCCAATACTGTCACCCCACAGCAAGAAGGGCACTAACTAACATTAGGCTGTCACCCTCCCAGAGCCATTCCTACTGCCTATCCCATTATTAGACCAGTTATCAAGGCCAAACACTAATTACTGTAAAACCTCTTGAAAAAGCTGTACTAGCGGAATCTGCAACCCAGCAGAAAAATAAACCATGGCATGAGATGAAGGCAACAAGCAAAAGCCCTGCTCTCTTACCAGTTCTTGTAGAAGCGACGCTTACACTCATCACTGATGTGCTCAGCAAAGATGGTCTTGAAGCTACGGAGACCACGAGGAGTCTGCACGTATCCCACAATGCCCACAATGACCATGGGAGGAGTCTCTACTATAGTGACTGCCTCGACCACCTCCTTTTTGTTCACCTCTGGATGCAGACAGAAAAACAGCACGACAATTAACACCAGCATCAGCTATTAAACAACATCATCTGTTCCTTCTCACTCACAAATCCTTCACATGAAAAGTTAAATGACTCAAGTTCTTTCCACAAAGGCAAAGAGGATGCATGGTAAAGTGACCAGCTCCAAGTTATAATTTAATGCCTTGCAAAAGTTTGAGGCTGGCTCAGCAGGAAGCACAGCAAAGCCCAATAGGCAAAATGGATGGTAGCGAGTAACAGAACCACATTCAAGACTGGACAATCAGCAAAAAAACACCAAAGGCAATTTACTTATGTCCACCCACCGAGAAGAGGTCATCCTATTTAGCCTGTTACAGTACAGCTAAACCAAACCATCAGGTCACTGTGCATCTCAGAAACAGGACCATTAACAAGACAGGCACTGCTAGAAATGAAGTCTTGCTGCTGGGACATCACTCACACTGGGGCAGGAGGGGTTCAGGTGCTTTATAACCCACTCACTCAAGGGCTCTGAATGGGGTGAAGTCAAGCTACGACTAAAATCCAGAGCTATTAACAAACAGACCATCTTTTGCCATTCATAAAGAAAAGAAAACCACCTCTATTGAGAGGAACATTAATACGTACTGGATCCAGGTCTGTCGACTTCACGGACAATGTGGGTCATACCAGCTTTGTACCCCAAGAAGGCAGTGAGATGGACAGGCTTGCTGGGGTCATCTTTGGGAAAGCTCTTCACCTTGCCCCTGTGCCTGCTACTGCGCTTGCGGGGCAGGAAGCCCAGAGACCCATGCCTCGGAGCTGAGAACTTGCGGTGAGACTAGAGAGAAAAGAAACATTTAGTGCTTGCTATAGAGATTCACTTATACCCACTCAATGGCCAAGGCCAATTCTCTTCTTGCCTTGAAACATGAATATTACGTATATACAAGACATTTTGCATTCTAGAAATTCTTCTCAGTATCAGCTGTTTGGTTTCTGAATTCCACTATGATGTTACAAGAACATAATCCTCATGCCCCAACTATGTCCCTCCTACATTTCCTCAACATCCCCTCTCTTTCAAGCTTATTTTAAGACATCACCAAGTCCCACTCTAGTTAGGGAACCAAACAAGCTGTAGTTTGGCCACAGCATGCCACCAGAGCTTCAATGCACCCCAGAAGCCTCGAAAATGGAGAAGCACAAGATAGCTTTATAGTATGTTTCAATGAATCAAGACCACTATGAAAATAAGCATTATAAAAACCATTTCAGTTTGAAAAGCTGCAGTAAGACAATCTTTCAACATCCACCTTTGAGTCAGTCACTTTGGGTGGAAGTACAGGGTTTTCTAAGCTGTTCCCCTCAACTACCAGCCCTGCAGCCTCCCTCTGCAACCTGAGAGCCAAGTAAGGCTGGGTTCTATGCGGGCAACTCTCAGCCCATCAAAGAATTACCCATCCAATCTCACATCCAAACTTAAGAAAAATATTGTACAGCTAAGGATAGAGCTAACAACCAATAGCTAAAAAATGTGTCTTACTTTTAAAAAAAATACTTGACGCAAGTTGCCTTAAGCAGACAAAGTTTACCAGCCCCAAAAAGGCCTTTTTGTCAGGACTACCAATCTTGCGGCAGGGCCCAGCAGAACTAAGTTTTGACACCTACGCAAGCCTGAAGGCCGCCAGCACATTACCTTCGCCTACGAATGACATCAAACGCGAAATTCGATCCTACAACTGCATTATTAAACCGGGTGGGCTCGCAGCCCCCACCACGGCCTCGCTGCACTTGCAGAAGCGTACGAACAGCCTCACCCTGGCCCTCAAAGGCCCTGTGATCCGACTGCCTACTCAAGCAGACATTACTGCCGGCAGCTATCGAGAGAGGAACCCACCCCCCCTACAAAAACAAGGGACAGCAAATCCCACCACGGGTCCGGGTAGCCCCCCCCCAGCCACCCGCACCCCCAGGCGCAAAGCAGGCCCCGGCCGGCGTCCCCAAGGCAAGGCCTCGCCCGCCCACGGTGCCTGCCGCGGTCGAGCCCCGAAATGAGACCCGCGTCGCCTCCCGCAGAGGCCCTGGCACGGCGGGAGCGGAGCCGGGCAGCCGCCGGGGGCGGGATGGCGCCGATACCGGAGGGATTGCGCGGCCGGACCCCGGGCGGCACCACCGCTGCCAGCACCCACCATCCTGTCCCCGCGCCGGGCCGGAAGGGCCGATAGAGGCCGCGCGCGCGGCTTTTATAGCGGCCCCGCCCCTCCGCAGTGCCGCGCTGCGCAGGTGCGTGGCGCGCGGCGGTCTCGCGAGAAGAGCGAGGGGGCGGGGGCGGCGGCGGGGGCGGGGGCGGG